TCAAGGCCCAAAAAAATTAAAATTTGTTAAGGAATTTTTCATTTTTTCCCTATAAAAACAGTTTTTTTATGTGTAAATTTTTTTTCGTGTATTAGCCCGATTTGAATTTTTGTAGTCCGGTCTTGGATTCAATCCTAAATCCGTCCCTGGGTTAATGGGTTTGTTCATCTTCTTCAATGGCTCATCTATTTGAGATGGGTTATGAATTTACAATCCTGGATTTGTAATTATATTTAATTTAATCACCGGGGATTTGCTTAATGAGCCTAGTCAACGAAGTTTCTTGGTAAAATAGCCTACACTTAATAATGTTTGGAAAAATAACATTTACTCTATTTCATCATGTGTTAAAGTCTCAAATACCCTTATTGTGAAATGTCTAAAATGCCCAATTTGAAATCAAAATTTATCAAATTCTCCAAACATAGATCCTACTTTCATTCTCACTTTTCATACACAAATAAAAATCAACAGCAAAACGGCATGCCACCTTTTCAAATGATTGAGTGTCATTTTAACTAATTTCGTGTTCATTTTACTTTATTCACTCTTATCCACGTGAAAATTATATAAAAAAGTGTTAATCATATTTGAAGTGAAGTTAAGGGCTCGTGACCCGAACGACATGATGTTGTTATAAACCGTTCGATGACGTTTTAACTAATTTTTGTTTTCGTTTTACTTGTTCTCTCGTTTTCACATTAAAATTAACATAGACACGTTTTAACAATATTTAGAGTGAAATCAAGATCTCATAATGCCTTGCTGTCATTTTAAATAGTTAGGTGTCATTTCAACTAATTCCATATACGTTTCATTTTATTTTCATCCATATTTACATAAAAATGAACGAATGCATTTTTCATTATATTTAGACACCAGTATCAATACAAAGTTCCTGCGACAATGATGAACACTATTATTTTATGAGTAAACTACACTAGACTTAACTACGAACTAAGTTAGGTAATCTAAATTTGATTATATTCAAATTATGAGACAAGATACTGAATAATTTAGCTTATCTTTTGTATAAGTCTTATAAAATTTTTCGAGATATTAATGACTGGTTTTGAAGTGAAATCGAGACTTCAATAACCTAAAATGGCGTGCTACCATTTTAAATTCCTGAGTGCCGTTTTAACTATTTTTGTGTCCATTTCACTTTATGTTCATCCGTATCCATATGAAAACAAACGAGTACAAGTTTTCATTACATTTAGATACCAAAGTCGCTACAAAAGTTAACGAGATAGTAACCAACAATATTGTTTCGTAAGTAAACTACGCTAAATATCACCATGAACGTATGTAATTAATTTGAATTCAATGATACTCCAACAGTGAGATAAGATACTCAACAAATTAGTATGTTTAACTTATAAGTCATCTAAGATGTTATGAAATATGATCGAATAGTTTTGGAGCGAAATTGAGACCTCAAGACCTAGAACGACATATTAGTTTCGAAGTGAAATTGATACACCGTGGCCCAAAATGGCATTTGGTCATTTTAAACGTATGCTTGACGTTTCTACTCATTGAGTGTTTATTTCGGTTCATTCACGCTATAACCCTGTGAAAGTTCAGGGATAA